TTAACGCGATAAGGTTGTTTAGGGCTCGGTGTGCTGCAAGCGGTGGATCTTAATTAATGACGCGCATCAAGACCCGTACAATGATGCACTTTCCATTTACGTAGCTTTACCGGACGTGATGATTTTGCAATTAAATTCTCAACAGTTTGCTCCGCGAAATGAAAATTTCTTCAAGAGAGAAGTTTAAATATAAAAGTATCTACGCTAATGTATTTACTTTTTATGCTAACATATAAGTGATGGGAATGTTTATTATTAATTGAAGTCACAATAAGATGGATTCTAAATTATTTTTCTATACGAAAAATGTGAGAGGTATCTTTTTTTTTCGAGTTTAATTACTCAGTTCAGTGCAGTTAGCTGAACGCGTTGACCGAAGGTGCTGTAATTCGCGCCGAGTTTCCCCGTTTTTCGGATCGATCCGACAACGAATCAGGGCGCAGTTAGCTAATGCGGGGTTACGTTGGCACAGCCCCCAAGGGGGTGGCTCGAACTCTGTCGACGTAGTTAGGGATGAAACGTGGCCCGCGGTAACGATCCGAAAAAGCGTAATTCACGGGCGGAATCTTCACAGTAATATATGACGCAACTTTGGAATCGAGATAAATTGCGGAGACACAAATGCCGCACCTAAAAATTTATAATTGTCACATCGCCGTAAAATATCTTTACTTTTAATTTTCTCCTGCTTTTATACTTAAACTCGTAATAATATTACTTTCGAGTTCCTAAAACACTCTCATCATTCCGTAATGCCTCTTCATTCACGTTTAATTATTTCGCTCTCAAGCAGTCTGCGTCAATGATACCGCGGCGCAGTCGGAGCAATTAATTATTTAAAATTCAATTAATTCCCTCACTATCGGCCGAGGCGGCTTTTCTCCGTCGCGAGCGTCGCAAAAAAAAAGTAGCCTCTTCCAGCCGCGCTTTGTCCGCCGCTTAATGGCGGCGCTTCTTCTATTTTGTCGGATCTAATTTCCGTTCCCGCCGTGGCTTCTGCCGCAATTAATTCACCTGGAATCCAATTAATTCACCGGACGGCCAATGAACTAACGTTGTTTGTCAAAGAAGACGTTTGCGCCGCCATTCCGCGGCGCGGAAGGAGTGGTGCGAGCGGGAAAGTGCGAGGGGGAGGATATACCACGGGGAGGAAGATAAAATTACATTATCGCCTAAAGCGCCCTCGACGAAGGAGGGGCAGGCGGCGTGATGAGGGACCGGGAGGGGGCGGCAGAGAAGCGGGGCGAAAATCACGTCCCGTAATTCTCGGGCATTAAGGTAAACGTCCAACTCGCAGGGCGCAGGTTCGGTCGTCATGGAGACCACAGGGTGCTTCCCACCACCATTGTTCGTCCTTCCAATCGATAACTTATGAAACCCGTCGTACATACCCTCCTCTCGGCCGTCTCGCTTCACCCTGCCGCAACCCCGCCGGCTGGATGCGCGACTCGGCTTCTTGTCATGGCGACACTTCGCGTGTCTATATGAGTAAAAGAAAAAATTTAGCACAGCGCAGTGGGAACGTTTTCATATAAGTGGGATTAACGGCGTTGGTATCCTCTCTAACTGCACGATGGATTTGATAAAAAGCAATTTTTTTTTTCGTGTTTCTACTTGCGCAATGCTAGAAATTGCCTACTGAATATAACCGGCTATCAACCATTATTATTTTAAGTAACTGAAAGATAAAATCAATATGTTTGTCTAACGGATCTCGTCACGTATTGTGCTATCGTTTTTTCAGAATGAGCAATAACGGATTTAAAAATTGCCCGAATGATAACAAAATTGAAATCTCACGTGAAAGCATTCGGCATTCAATCTTTATCGGCGATAAATTAAG